TGTTTTTGTTTAGTCTAATTATTTCTAATTTCTAAGAAAACTACAAAAAAAGTTTTATTTTCTTTACAATTTTCTATTTCTCACTATGAATTGTAACCAAAATGTACTAACAGAGCTTTATGTATGACAGAATTTCGATTTTACAATTTTTAACATTAAAAAGTCGTTGTTTTATTTGTTTTTTTCCGAACTTCACAAATTGTTACCAAAACATAAAAGAAACTACAAAAGTCGAGTTGTTTTGTAACAAAGTGTCAAGTTTTCAAATTTTGAGACTAAAATTAAAAAAAAAATTACAGTAAACAAGCTTTTTTCAATATTTTTGTTATTATTCTTTGTCAATTTTTTTTAGTAATTTCTAGTTTTTGCATGTTTTTGTTTAGTCTAATTATTTCTAAGTTCAAAAAAAAGAGTTTTATTTTTCCTACAATCTATCTATTTCTCAATTTGTTGAAGAATTTTTTCGAATTTCGCAAATTGGCACCATAATATTAGAAAAAAACGAAAGTCGAGTTTTTTGTGACAAGTTTTCAATTTTCCAAAGTTTATGACTAAAATTGTTAAAAAAATTTCAGTAAACATAAACTTTTTCGGTTGTTTTATTATTCATTGTCAATTTTTCTGTTTTTTGTCTTTTGCAATTTTTCTTAGTAATTTCTAGTTTTAAATGTGTTTGTTTAGTCTAATTATTTCTAACTTCTATAAGAAAAGTCAAAAAAGAGTTTTATTTATTTCTTACTATGAATTGAAACAAAAACTTTTTAATTTTTTATTTTTTAATAAAGAATATCAATATTCATACATTTTTTCAGTTTTTGTTGTTCTTTTTCGTCAATCTGTGTTTTTAATTTTTATTCACCACTTCTTTTTTTTTCTTTTCTTTTGGTAAAACCGAAGAGGGGATTTATTTTTAATGTTAAAGCGGCGCGAAAGAGAAAGTCTCCGATTATAATTCGATTTAATTGAAAAGAATTTGAATTAACTGGCACGGACAATATGGAATTGCACAAGCGCTCGATTTTGACATAAATAATGCGATTTGTTCGAATATTTTGCTGTTAATTACTCCACAAATTTTCTTAGTACACTTTTACCAACTTTTCACATAAAATACTCACTATTTTGTAAGAACGCAATTATCTTTATTATTTATTGCCGTTACAACTCGGATAATAATTTACAATGAAAAAATTTGACAAATGACAGAATTAGAGCATATTGTATGACAGAATGCTTTAAATGCTTTATGGGAAAAAATCACAAAATGCTTCGAAGCATGCAACGTTCTTATACAACGCTAAACGGAAATTCTACTGAAATTTATTCAAAAAATAGGGTAAAATCGGGAGAGATGGACATGAAGAAAAAGAAACTACAACAATTATAGTAAAAAAATACTACTACACACTTTAAACTAAAATTTGTCGTACAGGAAGGAAAAAAGAGAAAAAAATTATTAAATTTGAAATTATTTTTATTAAAAATTTTTAGATAGACTGTTCTTAAGTTAGGTACCTAATTTTTTATTAATTTATAAAACCGCAAGATTGCTACTAACCTCGGCTTCGCCTCGGTAAATCAGTGCCATTTTCGCCAAAGTCCAACTTTTCGTAATTATTTCTCTCGTTACGTTCGAATTCCTCACAAATTTGATCAAAGAAACGCTAATCAATCAAAACTCTGACAGCAAATCCTCATTACAGCCACAGAAATTACCAACAAGCAAAAACTGTTATTATTTAGCAAACATATCGTCGATCGATTCACCGCAACGTGAAAAAAAAATAATTAATCCAACAACCCCTTTCTGTAATCAAGTCTGTAAGTAATTAATTTCAGTGGTGAAAAAATCCGCTTTCTTCCCTCTCTAAATTAGCTAAAGTTATGATGTTTTATGTTTGATTCCGGTTGGTATATTTTATTTTTCAAATAAATTAAAGAAAACTATATTGCTATTGTCTTAATATAAAGTATCTAGTCGTAATCAGGATTCGAGATGTGCGCCGCGAAACGCGTGGATAATAATTTAGGTTAATTATCGAAAACTTAACAGCAATAACGGACCGGACTATACAAAAGGGTTAAAACTGAATGCGGCCCGACATGCGATCTTTTTTAATGTCTTTAGTACACGCATCTTTTTCTTAATCATTTTCGGGGATTATTCACACAATTAGCTAATTGAAAACGAGGGCTCGAGACGGGCCTGGATTTTTCACTTAACTACTCTTACATGTTACTCACGCAATTAGGGCTCAAGTCGGTACTGGATTTTTAATTAATAAACAACAGGGATTTTTTCAAAAACCCCTAAGTAATTAGTACTTAACAAAAAGCAACTTTTACTTAGTTACTTGTGCTAATTAGCTATTTTTTTCTGTTAACTAGTTTGAGAAGTTATACAATTAATTATAAATGGCTTTGAAAAACCTGATTTTTTTAGTTAAAGACGATTTATAGTTATAAACAATCAGAAAAATAGCTAAACAGTTATGTTCAACTAAAGATACAGGAGCTAATTTTTTGATAGTTGAGAGGGTCAATTAGCTATTTTGTTCTTAATAAAATTTTATTAAATAGCTAAAAGTTTTACATGACTGTTTTAGAAAGCTTTCAGTTATTTCTTACGCAACAAAATATAGAATAAACCATTTGTGATGGAATTAGTTAACGGTGGAATTTGATTGCTTTTATTTAATTTTAGTTAATTTGGAGTTTAGCTACTTCTTAACTACTTTTAAAAAATAAACAGTAAAACAACAGAATTTAAACTGGTTTTGAATTAGTTAAATTTAAGTAAATTCACTTGTTTGAGTATAAAATGGAAATATTTTTTAGTTAAAAACAAAAAATGCTTCAATATTAACTTAAAAAATTAACTTTTAATGGCAATTGTGATGTAAACTTAGCTAAATTTTGTCACAAAAGCAGATTTTAACATAAATATGAGTTTAATCCATTTACTCCTAGGCTAGTTAACGACAATTAACTCATACAATTTTGGTCTTAAACCGGTTTTGGTTTAGTTAAATGTTAAGTTAAGCTTAAGAAAAAAAGACGATTTTTAGTTAATAAACAGGAAATTTTTCAAAATCTGTTGTTTGACTTAATAAGAATTTTTAGCTAACAGTGAGATATTTTAGCTTTTTTTAAAGAGATTTTTAGGTATTTAGTTAAACATTTTTTTCACAAAATTCTATTTTTTTTAGTTTCAGTTAGTTAACTAAACTCACTCAAACAGTTAACTACGTATTTAACTCAAATTTAACACAATTTCAGACTTAATTAAATCGGTCCTGGATTAGTTAAATGTTAACTTTCAATTAATTTATGAAATGAAAAAAAACTATTTTTCGTTAAAAAACAGGAAATTTTTCAAAATCTAGTACAAAAAATTTAGCTAAGTAACGGTTTTTAACTATTTTTTTTTTAAATTTTTAAGTAATCAGTAGCAATAATTTTTTTCACAGAATTCTACTCTTTTAGTTTTAGTTAGTTTTTATTTACATTTTACGCAATGAACACATTGATGAGCTAACGCAGTTATTTGTAGGCTTAGTTATCAGCAGAATTTGATAGTTTTTAGTTATTTTTAAGTATCCATTAGCTATTTTTTGCGAACTTAATTATTTGAACTAAACTTAAAAAAGTCGATTTTTAGTTAATAAACAGTGTTTTTTTGATATCCATGTCAAAAAAGCTGAACATATCAGTTAATATACTACACTAATATAATAATTTTAACTACAATAAAGTGGCTAAAACTTTTAAAAAAACTACATT